ATTATTATTATTATTATTATTATAGTATTTATTCATTTTATTAAAAACAAAACAAAACACATTACATAGAGCAAAAAACAAATCAAATTAAATGAAAGGCAGCAGAAGAAAATAAATCTTATATCTGCTCCTATTTACAAAAAATATATATTAATTTCAAACAATAATAAACCAAATAAAACAAAACTAAAAAGTCAACTGTTCAAACAGTAACTCATACAAATACTAATTAAACTATTTCATATTTCTTTAACAACTTTGCTTTGATCATTTTTAAAGGAATTATTGGTCCACTTTACATTAAGGCTCTCCTTATGGTTTATAGACACCAGGTTATTAATTCATCTGTAAACACTTTGTAAATCAGTAATAAGTGTTTATTATGCATTAATTAAGGACAGAGAAATCTGTCCAGTTTTAATAAATGAGACAAAACTGTTCACGTACATATTACATCTAAAGGTGTTTATTAAACATTTCACACTACGTTACTACATTGTAAGTACAATAACACCAAGAAACACATAATTACATAATATACTGTATTACTGCATTATAAATACCCACAACTATCAAAGGGAGTCTTAGTGTAAAGTGTAAAACAACACACTACTGATTAATGACTAATAAACATGTATAAATGTTATAAGGGAGCTTTATAAATAGTGAACAGTTTTACACTTTACAATAAGGCTCCCTTTGATAGTTGTGTGTATAATGCAGTAATACAGTACAATATTACATGTAAATATATGTGTTTCTAATATATTACTGTGCTTCCAAGATAAACCTAATGTGAAAAGTTTAATAAGCACCTTAAATGTAACGTAAACAGATTTGTCTCATTATTTGGTAAAAAACTGGACAGTTTTCTCTCTCCGTCCTTATCTGGTGCATAATAAACACTTTTTACTGATTTATAAAGTGTTTACAGATTAATTACAGATTAATTTATAACCTATCCATAGACCATCTATAAGGAGAACCTWATTGTAAAGTGGAACTGAATTAATTAATCCAATGCTTCTATAATAATTTTCCAGATTATTCCATAGTCTTACACGTTTTACAGAAGTGCATCTGTCCTTCAGTTTACTCTGATTTTCAGTTTAACAAACATTTGTAAATTAAACTTCAAATTATAGCAGCTTTGCCTCTTAACAAAATGTGAGTGGACGTTTGAAGGCAACACATTTTATGAGCTTTATAACGTGATTTTCAACCAACTCATCAAAGTTTTATCTTTTTAACTGATGAATTAATGAGATGGTGCTGTGAAGAAACACAGAAATAAATCAACTTTATGATGCTTTAAAACAGCTTTCTGTAAGATTATTTTCTGAAGTCAGTCAGTGAAGAGCAGCCAGATTAAAACCACCTGTTTACCTGAAAGCTCAGATTTACTGCAGGAGGAAATAATCTTAGTTTAATCCTCTTTATTTCATTGAACTTTAAACATGAAACATGATGAGAGGAAACAGAGCATCAGGTGTAAAACTGTTACCTGAAGCATCAACGTTTGATCGAGATTAAAAACTGGACCTTTTCAACTGAGCTGACAGGTTAGTAACCAGCTGGGATTAACTGAGCTGACAGGTTAGTAACCAGCTGGGATTAACTGAGCTGACAGGTTAGTAACCAGCTGGGATTAACTGAGCTGACAGGTTAGTAACCAGCTGAGGCTGGGATTAACTGAGCTGACAGATTAAACAGATTTAAAACAATCCGATGCGCGATGATTCATCATGTAAAAACATTAAAATAAAGCCAGACACCGGGCTGACCACCAAGAACCAGATAAACCAGATAACTCAGTCCAACACTAACCAGTTAACTCACCTTTGTTCGCTTTAGCTGCTGGTTATCAGCTAACAGCTACAAGCTAACCACTTAGCTTTGACAAGATAAAGACATAAAACCAGGTCAAACCTGCTGTTAACAGTTAATTTTTAACTGTTAACAGTTAACTGCAGCACATTTCTCACAAATCATCAAACATTAGATGATCCTTTAAACCGTCAGCATTAAGCTAGCAGCTCCGGGGATTAGCGGTTCCAGCTAACCAGTTTAGCCCGGCTCGGTGCTGTGACCCACATAAGCACCGCTCCTCCAAACCCTGACCCACTTCTCATTTTTTACTCTGGTTCTGTTTCTGGAACTGTACTGACCTTTCTGCTGTAACCGGGGGGTGACATGACATAAGAGGCCGACTGGTGAAGGAGGAACAGCCGAGGTGGGTGCTCGTCGCCCGGCCGCCTCTGCCGGAGCTAGCTGCAGCTAGCTGTCCGCTCCTCGGCAGCTGTCCATCACCGAGAGAGATCCCGCGGCTCCGCGGGCCGTGGAGGCGGTCTTCAGGCGTCTGTGGACGAAGACTGGTCCCGCTGGGTCATTCCGCTCACAGGTCCTCCGGCCCAGCCGGACTTCGGCTCGCTTTCACAGCGACAGCTAAAGCTAGCTGGCTAGCTGCTGGGATGAAGAGCCGGGGAAGCCGGGTGGGGGAGGGGCGGTGCTTTTTACTGCGCTGTAAACAACGCCACCCGGTGGGGAGGAGCTGAGCGGGCCGCCCGGGCGGAGAATACAAGCGCTCCCTCATAACGAGCAGAAGAAACGAGCGCCCTTTAAAATACAGGCCACCCGGGCCGGGCGGGGATAACACGCGTCCGTCAAAACAGGGGAGCCCTGGTTGGACCAGGGACCCACTGGATGGAGGACCAAGGATTCAAGGACCACAATAATACCCCACCGGACCAGGAAAGACTGTTTAGTGCCTGAGCTGTGGTCGACTGGATAAAAACATGGCCGACTTGGCTCGGAGGCCAGCAGAGGCCCAGTGAAGACAGAAAGACTCAGATGTAAAAAAACAAGTAGAAGTTCTTCAGACTCAGAAAAACAACAAAACTCAAGAAAAGAAAAGTGAAATATTTCAGTAATGACAGAAGAGCAACACAAAGTAAATCTGAACACATGATAAAGTCAGAGCCACGTCACTGTACTGGTTTATTTCAGGAACTTAACGAGGCGCTCTGTTAATTACAATCAGCACAGAGCCACAGGAAGGAAACTACAAATGATGTCATCACCTTTATAGACAGGAACCAGCAGCAGAACACAGACAGCTGAAGCAGAGAAACACAAACATCTGATTCCGTTGTAGAAAAGTGTCTGTAGACCGTCCAGTCCAGTCCGGTTCTGACCCAGAACAGCTGGATCTTCCTCTTTAGAAACACTGATTTCATCAAATATAAATGTTTAAAAACAGAGAGGATTTACAAAAACATGAGCAGAAAGAATAAAACATGATGGCAGCAACCCGCTGGAGCCACGACAGGAAACCTGCAGCTGATGTTTCTGAGGCTAAAGTCCAGGACCAGCTCCTGTTCCTTCAATGGTCCTGATGGTCCTGATGGTCCTGAGGCTGAGGCACATCAGCTAAAGTCCAGGACCAACGTGGTCCTCCTCAAACCATTTCTCTTCCTCCCCTGACCTCTGGTCACACCTGTAAAATAAAATAAAATAAAAATAAAACAGGTAAACACAAACACTTCGGCTGTTTCTGGAGGTAAACACAAACACTTCGGCTCTTTCTGGAGGTAAACACAAACACTTCGGCTGTTTCTGGAGGTAAACACAAACACTTCGGCTCTTTCTGGAGGTAAACACAAACACTTCGGCTCTTTCTGGAGGTAAACACAAACACTTCGGCTCTTTCTGGAGGTAAACACAAACAAGTCGGCTGTTGTCAAACTGTTTATAAGACTGGTTTGATTGACAGATTCATCAGATGGGGGCGGGCCCATGGACAAAGGGGAGGAGTCAGACCCTGCTGGGTGTAGCCAGTGTTTACCCACCTGTTCCAGCTGCAGCGTCTCCTCCTCACTGACTCCTCCCCTCTCCCAGAGCCCCGCCCCCTCAGCATGCTAGCTGTGGGCCTGGGGGGTGATGCTGGAGCAGTCGGTCACCAGGAGTCCCCCGGCGCCCGGGCTGGACACGGTGACGGAGGCGTCGGTGGTGCCCACGGGGCCGGCGCTCGTCTGGTCGGGGGCGGGGTCCCCCTGCTGGGCGTGGGTGCCCATGTGACCCTGGAGCTGCGTGGCGGTCTTACACTGGACCCCGCAGAGCTGGCAGAGCAGGACCCCGCCGGTCCCCGTCCCCCCGAAGCCCCCCCGCGCCCCGCCGCTCTCCTTCCACTCCTGACCGTGGTGCTTCTGAGCGTGGACCCGCAGGTAGGTGAGGGTGGTGAAGCCTGGAACAGAGGCTGAGAGTCAGGTGTGCACGTGAGGGCGTRCACGTGTGCTGCACGTGGTCTTACTGCGGTTGCAGAGGTGGCAGGCGTGATGCTGCGCCTGGTTGTGGACCCTCATGTGGTCGGTGATGTACGCCGCCGACAGCAGCTTCCCACAGATGTGACACGGAACCTTCTCCTCGTGACGGATCAGGTGCGCACGGAGGCGGTCCCGTGTGGCAAACGCTGACGTGCACGTCTGAAAACAAACACCACGAAAACATTTATGAAATGAAAAATATGTTTTTTACAGGAAGTGTTTCAGCCTGAGGTGAAGAGTAAATAAAACAAGACAAACATTCATTCCAGGGATGAACGATAACTTATTTTAAAAACCAATAACTGACAATAACCAATAATAACAGGTAATAACTGACAACATGACAGGACATAAGACTAGAAAAAATGGGTAAAATCATAACATAAACAAGACAAAAACCAAATGACTGCAAATTATTTTATTTGAAATAAACTCTTAGCAAACATTTCTTAAAATATGATGTATATGGTAAACTGTGGCTAACTGTGGTAAACTGTGTCTAACGATGGTAAACTGTGGCTAAC